CCACCCCCACCTACGCCAACCTACCACCATGCCACTACTACGTCATCACAGTTATCATCCCCAACCTGTCACCTACCACATTCGTCATCCGACCACTATTGTCATCGCTATGGCTACCACTCCGCCACCCACCCTACCCTACCAACTACCATGCTACTATTATCGCCGTCAAGCTACCACCCACTTAACATCCACCCTGTCGACCGACTACCATACCACTGTTGCCATCGTCACAACTATCACCTACCCGCACCACCACTCACCATGTGGGTGGCAGGGGAAGGTTGAGGTTGTGGACCGACGACAGGGTGGGTGGTGGGGTGGCAAGGGTGTAGGTTAGGGGATCGGGGGCGGGCCCACCCCAACCACCCCCATGCCACTATTTTTGCCGTCATAGCTACCACCACCAGAGTGAGTGAAGGACCGGGGGAAATGTAGGTGAAGGGGTGGTGGTGGGGGACCATGGATAGGGGTTGGAGGACTAAGGATGGACATCTCGTCACCACCCACCCACATGGGTGGCGAGGGCAGAGGGGGTGAGTGCTAGCAGGGCCGAGGGCAGGGGTAGGGGGATTGAGGTAAGATAGGGTACCCCGCCAATACCATTACTGTCGTCATCACAGCTGCCACCCCACCCTCCCCCAAATAAAGAGGAGATTTCAATTCTTTTGAAGAATTCTATTTTGATTCCTTCAAAGTCAGATTCTTTTGATGGATTCTAATTCCACCAAATTCCAATATGCGAACCAAATGCTCCCTTAGTTTCATACAAGAGTGGTGAGTCCCTTGTAAAGTAAGGTCTAGAGATGGTAAGATATACACAATTCATACATCTACCTCCAAGAGTAGAAAGATTGTTTCATAAAACCCCAGCAAGAGGATGAAATACAAGATAAAAATGAAAAGCTTCCAAATATGGGAATTGTAAACAAACCGAAGGAACACGAACAGAGAGTCGTTCATGTTCATTCATTTAATTTAACTGAATGAACGACCACGAATGTTGAACGAACGAACACGACTTACAAGCGAACATCACTTGTGAACGAACGAGCTTTTTATGTTCATGTCCGTTTGTTAAGAAAACGAGGATCAGCGAGCTGCTCATCAGCAAAAATAGAAAAGAAACCATTAATCCGACATGCCTTGATGCATGACCCGAATCACCATGTCCTAGGCACAACTGGTCGCTATCCGGACTTGGACAACCAATCGTGCTTCGATCAAGGATCAACGAGCTACTCGTCAGCAAGAATAAAAAGAGAAACCACTGATCCTACGACCAATCGGTTAACAGTCGGCCGCTCTACCACTGAGCTATGGAGGAACAACGGGAGATTCGATCTCATAGAGTTCAATTCCCGTCCTCAACTCTTGTTGGTGTTCGTTTATATTCGCTCGCTAAGATGCTAAACGAACATAAATAAAAAAACACAAATGAACAGAAAATAAAAACCACCTTTACTCATCATCTCATTCCTCTTATAAACTACGAAATAAATTAATCTACCATCGTTAACTATTCTTCACCATCACCAAATATCATAGTAAAAGAAGAAACACGATATGTGTGAATCTAATAAATCGTACCATGTACTTCATAATTGGTGTGTAATGTGACATCATGATTACTTAAAACTTGAAAGATTCTGAAATCTAAAGTAAAATGAAAGTTATTAAAAACTATAATCTATTTTTAATTAATTAACAATATTATTATTAATTTATTTAAATTAATAATCATATTAGTAGTTATATAATATATTTTTATAAACGAACACAAATGAATATAAATAAAAGTTAACAAACGAGCAAAACCCAACGTTCACAAATATAATTGAACGAACAAGCATTTGTTCGTGTTTCGTTCATTTCACTAAACAAACCAAAAAACCTTGTTCATGTTCATTCATTTATCATATAAACATATTTCCCACCAAATAGGTCACGAACGGTTGGTCAAACTTTTAGTTTATTTACAGCCCTAACCAAGCACAATTCATAACCAAAAAAGGTTAAATTACAGTCGGACTTCAACAGCTTAAGCCGAGAACTTACTCAAGTTACCACGATCAACTTGACAAGAAGATAGATTCAACCGATTCAAACCATCTTGCCACTTAACAAGAAGATAGATTCGACCGATTCAAACCATTTTGCAAAACTTTAACGCAACCTGAACAGACATGAATTAAGGTCATATTCGTTAACATCATTTCCCTCTATTCTTTATATTCGGGTTTCATCTTCATTTCTTCTTATAGTTACCCATATTTCAGTTCTTTCCATATCATATCTAATAGAACCCACAAACCGAATATAACAAGAATGATCATATATTCATATCAACTGAAACAGATCATAGAACCCACCTTGCTTGAGTGCAAGATTCTAACAAGAAACAGGAATCTATATCCCAGATGAGAGGATGAAGAAACTTGCAGTCAATTCAAACTAAATTGGAAGATAGAACTCAAAATATGCATTTGCAGCTGCAATCTTGAAATCCCAGATCAAGAAAATGTAAAACTGGTTCTAACTGTGACCAAATGCCACTGAAATCTAGCTTAGTGACCTTCTAAAACCACCCATGTATTCTTTCAGGATGCTAGATTATAAAGAAGTAAGCACCTGATTCTTCTTTCAATGGTTGAAGAACCATAGCATCAGAACAGGATAAATCCCCATTTTCTTGATTCGAAAATGTCAATATCCGGTTACCCCATATGATCAACAATCTATTTCTCTTGATAAAATCAAGAAACTGGCATCTCAAGATGATTAAAGATCTACCATATTGAGTGCTTTGCGCTACGCATACCTGTTTCTCAAAGTCGCAGCCTCATCAAAATTATATTCTTCAGGTTGAAGTGCTCGATCCCATCTCGATAATAGATCTTCAGAACCACAAGATTGTTTTCTGGGAATCGAACCAATGAGTAATCTTACTGGTTGCTGCAAACCCAAAATCTTACCAGTCGAACGAGTGTCAAAACAATCTCAGAATCTAGAATCTATGATCAAACCAATCTCTACCCTCCAAATGTTTTTATGATACAAATCCTCTAAAGTGAAGCATTAATCCTGTATGTCAAGTGTTGCAATCTCAAAACAGAAGTATGCATCAAGTCTTTTAACTGTTGTTACCCATCGGTTCTTATTAGAAATCTCAATAATATAACGGTACACATTTCCAACACTTTCACCACATATTCATCACACATAACGAATCTTATTGAAGTAACTGACAAAATCCTCTTAAAAGCATTACAACCAGCGACCTTCATCCCATCTCGATAAACACCCAATACAGCATATGAATTAGTGAACCTGAAACTACTGATTTAAGCCTCTAATTCACGCAAACAATATGTAAAACATGAAGCTATTCTGATCTGGTCAAAGCTGTAATTGGGTAACCTGTTTTCTGTCATTTATTTACCTACTTGAGGTAAAACTAACAACTGTTTTTCGGATGGACTGAGAGCTCACCTCAGTAGTATGAGTCAGAAACACGCCCACCCACATAGCCATCAGTCACACGATGATTTGAGTAGACAGGAGAATATGACTCCGCACGCATCTGAGAAACAGTGGGATATAATGTAAATAATTGAAAGCAGAATAGGAAATGAAGCAAAACGCACTACAACAAAATTGGCTTTATAGGATACCAAAATTGTCAAAATGTCCTAATAGACTGCTTTATAAGACTTGAATTTATAGGACCAAACATATGTGCGTCCTATGTAAATTTGTTACAATAAGTTGATAGGACGTTTTTAGACGTCCTAACAAGTTTTTTAGGACAACTTCGAAATAAAACGTCTTATTAGTCTTCTTATATGACATTATTTGAAAAGGTGTCTTAAAATGTATGTGTTCATAACACACTTCTGAAAAGTGTCCTATAAAAAAGATAATAAGACACTTTATTTCAAAAATGTCCCATCAAATAGGTCTTAGCATCTTGTTCTAACATCTTTGCACGATATTTTGGCCCTATAACCATAAGTCCTGTAAGGCAGTCTATTATGGCATTTAGACATTTTTTGCATCCTATCAAGCCAATTTTGTTAGTAGTGACAGAAACATTAAACTAGGACAGAGACAATGGAGCGTACTTCTGATCGTGAAGGGATGTAGTCTCGCGACTCACATTCTCTACCATATCTGGAGTACATCTCTTCCGGATGCTCATTGCTTATCTCCACTGATAAATTTGGGATTTGGAGGCCAAGATTCGTATGAGTTGAAAGATAGAAGCAACAAAATCAACATATCAATACAGATTACGATTATAACAATTTTAATACCTCTTCTGTAGCCTACATTGGAGGTATTCTTATCATACAATCCATGAGAATGGCCTGCAGAACTCTGAGTACTTCCATTGTATCCAGAACGGGATCCACGCGCTAGCCTGACAATAGGACCTCACAATAATTAACTCAAAGAAAAATTCAATAAAGATCTTGCAGAATACCCAGCAAACACAAACAAAATCAGTTTTATAGGACGCCCTGGGATTAGTCGGCTCGCATAGCGGGTTGGATATCCAGGTTAATCAAAATCAGTTTTATAGGACACCAGAAATGTCTAAATATGTGAACAGACTATTTTAAAAACACAGAGAGTTTATAGGACCAAACAATTGTGTGTCCTATGTAAATGTGTTACAATAAGTTGATAGGATGCTTTTGGGTGTCCTAACAAGTTTTTTAGAGCAACCGTGAAATAAAGCGTCCTATTAGTCATTTTATATGACATTATTTGAAAAAGTGTCTTATAAAAGATTATTCAGAACACACTTCTCAAAAGAGTCCTATCAAAAAGCTAACAAGACACTTCATCTCAAAAGTGTCGTAAAAACTTGTTAGGATGCCCAAATACGTCCTATGCACAATTGTTTCATCTCAAAAGTGTCCTAAAAACTTGTTAGGATGCCCAAATATGTCCTATGCACAATTGTTTGGTCTTGTAAACTTAAGTCCTATAGAACAATTTATTACAACATTTTGACATTTTTGGCTAAAAACCAATTTTTCCGTAATGAAACGTGACATACCTTGTGGGCTCACTTCCATATATCCTATCATTATACAACAAATCAGAACTATTGGCATAATCAAAACCCGATCTTGATTGCCTCCGGGATGATTCAGTATAACGTGGATGGTGTTCCTCCTAGATGTAACCAGCCGAGCTTGTCAGGCATTGGCAAAGATCATTTGAGAGAAACAAAATGAAGATAAAAAAATTGACTTACAATTGATGAATAAGGTCGCTTTAAGCCAGATGTGGAACTAAAGTTCCGGCTACCGCCATCATTGTATCTTGATGGGTGCTCTATATACACATATCTTCCACCATCATCATCTTCATCGTAAATATGAGAACTTCCCCGGCCAGGAATACGAGAAACGGTCCTTGAAGACTCTTCCACGTATCCAGCTCCACGTGAAGAATAAGAATCTCTATAGACCTGCCTCTCGGTTGAAGAGATGGCCATATTTTGCCTCATGTACTCGGTTTTAAAGCCGTCCCTTTCATAAACTGAAAACCAAGATACGGTTATAATTATTTTACTTATATAGCATCAAAGCATCTCCTACAGATTCTAAAAAATGACGAAATTATAAAGATTCTAAAGTATTTTGGAGAAATTATTGAGAATCTGTTGGAGATGTTCTCATTCGACATGATTACTTTACTGCATACCTGGAGATCTGCGCTTTAAAGATCTGTCTGAAGAAGTATATGGTCTTCTGCTACCAGTTCTATCGGAAACAGAGACTTCATATCCCCGGTCACCTCTAGAATCGAATGACCTTCTACGACCTGCATCATATGGACTACGATCTCGAATGCTTCTTCTACCACGGTCTGAGAACCTATGAGCATCCATGCGGTTCGAACCACCCTCCCAAGAACCCCTGTGACTCCCATAACCATCTGGTCCCACTGAGTAACCTCCTCGTGCATATTTAGCAGATTTGCCTCTCTGACGTGGTCTGGATAGCCTTGCTCGAACTTTCACCTATAGAAATCGAAATTGACTTCCTAAGAATAAATTCATATACAAAAACATGCCAATATCACATAAAACTGTATAAGGAGCTTTCAAATCAGATATTAAGTCTACCAAACTGCTTGGATGGAAACTGTGAAATCCTTTTGTGAAGATTGCATAATAAGATAAATCAAACCATTAAGTCTACAAAACTGCTTGGATGGAAACTGTGAAATCCTTTTGTGAAGATTGCATAATAAGATAAATCAAACCAAACGAGCCCAGTACATCTCAATTCTCACCTCGTGTGGGGTCTTGGGCTGGTTAAGATGTACGCAGACCTGACCTCTACCCGAAAGAGTAGAGCGGCTGTTTCCGTGAAGACCCCCGGATGGTGAAAAATGCGTGAATGGGAGAAATACAGATATGCTAGAATTTAAAAGGCTAGATATAAGTAAACTATAGCAATACAAGAAAGAGAGAAACACAGATATGTGAAAGATTAAAACTTAATGTAACTCAGACGAGCAGGAAAACACCTTCTTGTTTCTGAAAACAAGCTCTGAATCATTAATACCATCAACACAAGATACAGCAGCTTCATGTGTGTTGAAAGTTATAAACCCGAAATCATCCCTTTTAGCAGCAGGCATATTTCGAGCGAGTTCAACCTTCTCGATTTTCCCAAACTGTCGTAGATGATCCTTTATTATGTCCTCCTCCCAAGAAGGAGGCAAACCATCAACGAATACAGTCCTCACCTGGATTTCCAAATTATATTAGGAAGTTTGATGTTAAACCAACGGTATGAACCAACTGTAACTAGGGATCATGAAATAAAAACCAAACAGGCTCAGTATATCCCACCCTGAGGTGGGGTATGGGGGTAGGATGCATGCAGACCTGACCTATACCCCAAAGTCTAAAGAGTAGAGCAGTTGCTCCCTTGACGACCCCCAGCTAGTGAAAAGTGTGTGGAAGGGAGGAAAACAGATACGTTAAAAAATGAAACACTATATAGGAGTAAGCAATAGCAATAAAAGGGATCTTGAAATAGGAGCACTAAAATACAATGTTTTAATAATATATACCTGAGCCATGATCTCATCATCAGGTTCAATAAAGGTGTCAGCAAAAGCAACCCTGGCCGTTCGATCGGTGCCAAATATGACATCCCTTTTCTGCAGGCGTCGGCAAGCTTCCAAGGCATCTGCTCTAGATGGGAAATCCAAGAATGCAAATCCCCGATTCATACCTTCAGTTTTAGCATCTTCAACCAATGTCAGCTCCTCAAACTTGTCTATGCCATACCACACTAGTTTTTCCTTCAACTGAAAAGTTAAAGCTCGGTTATCGTGTTCCATAAGCAAAACGAAGAATGTAATTGGATATCGAGGCAGCGAAACATACCATTTCTTTTGACCATGTCTTGCAAATGTTACCAACAAACAATGTGTCACTATCTTGACTTGGGGCCACTCCGCATTGCTTTCCATTAATCTGAAATTGCGTTATCTATCATTTGCCAATTGCTTTCCAAAGGGTCAATGGCCCAACGGCACTCAGATTACCGGTAGATCCCAACCTCATTGGAGGTATAAGGTTCAAGTCTCACCAAAGGTGAAGAGTGTGTGTGAGTTTTACCGAATATAAATATTACTTCCTCCATCCCAAGATAAATATACAAAATGAAAAAGGTGAATAGTTTAAAAAACGTGTTACTCCACTTTTTTAATAAACTAAATGACAATTGTACCCTTAACAATAGAGGGAGTAATGAATTTCTCCATCTCATAAGTAAGGGTAGAAATGGGAAGTAAGTACTTACTTTTGAAAGTAGACACTTATTTTGGGGCAAACTAAAATAAATATATGGACAATTATCATGGAACATATGGGGTATATAGTTCCAAAAAGAAGTCAATTTACATTGTGTAAAAGAAGTACATCGAAAGAAACATATAAGTAAAAGATGAATACCATTGGACGCTTAAGCTCATTAAGAGCACGCCTCGCCTGCTCAACTGTAGCAAACCGTATGAAAGCAAAGCCCTTATTTTTGTTGGTCATTGGATTCATCAGGAGCCTCACTTCGGTAATGTCGCCCACTTGACTAAAGACTTCCCTAAGATCTTCTTCAGTTGTATCACGGTCCAATCCACCAACAAATACCTCTAATTCTTTCTTTTTTTGCCGTTCTCTAACCACATCATGCCGTTCTTTCTTGTAACTATCTTGATCCAACCCATGTTCATCATAGAAATTCTCCTCACTTAACTCTTCATCCTCAAGTTTCCCTTCATCACGTTCCATCATGTACTCTCCACCAAACCTATCACCTCGGCCTTGTTCAACTCCTTGTGCAGTCCATCCTTCGTCCTCCACCTCATAGGAGGGATTTTTATACTCGATCTCCAGCCTCTCTTGTTTCTCCGCTGCATATTTCTCATCTTCCTTTTCCTCTGATAAACATATCAGCAAAATTACAAGATGAAGAGCACATCTATTATAGAACATGACCAGATAATATTACAGCATGAACATGTAGTAAATACAGATGTTTTCATATGTTAACCATATGTAGAAAATTTATTTCCAAATATCGAACTTGCAGCAAGTAAGGTTCAAGATGTAGATTCAACTTACTCGTCTCTTTTGCACGTAAATAAGGTAATGAATCCTCAAACAATTCTTGGAGTATATGAACATAATGGTGGAGTTATCCAATTTGATCATGTTTCATGAAATTATGACCTGTTGAGTCGATCAATTTATGACCTGATAAACTCAATGGCCACAATTGTTGTGTACGTATGGAATCAGACTCGGTGCAGAAGGGACAGTTTTATGACTTTCATCATTTCATAACTTCCATAATTTGATATGGGATTATTTTTCCATGTTATGAATTTTCAGGGCCATTTACGCCTCGCCTTTCCGTATTGTACACTTACATTTGAGGAAAGTTTCTTGGTATAATCGGCTATTTACGGAAGTTCATAGAAACTTCCATTCTAGCAAATATATCACCATTTTCTGGAACCCAAACTTCAAGCCAGTTCAAAATCTTGTGTAGAAACAAACAGATTACTTGTATAAACAAGACTGATTTGGCCAATCCAAACAGTCTTCTAAAAAGTAAGATTCAACCCCAAACTAAGAACGCATGTTATAAAAGCTCATACTAACCCATTAAAAAAGGTTGTTCTTTAAGAATCAAGGTTGCACAAAGTAAAGTTTCCCAACAACAAAAGTTCACTCACTTCACGTAACTTTACATATTTATAGGATCAGTAATAATCTAATCAAAATACAGGTCCTTTTTCACCTCTTAAACTCAAACAGCCTACTCCAAAACAAGTCCATAATCAAGCATTTAATGGATAAAATACTTAATTTAGATTTAAAAAACTGGCAACATATTCTATTTGAACCGCAATTAACGAAATTGGTAATAAAATTAAAGCCGATGAAGCAAAATTCATCGTTAGGGTTTGAATTAAAAACAATAACCCACAAATACAAATAGGAGTTAATAACATAGATAAAAGGAGCACCAGACGGAGAAAGGTAACGTCTTGAGGAGTCTTCGGCTCGATGAAGGAGTCGTTTCTTGAAAGGCGTCATCGATGGCTGAGGCGGCGGCGGGGGCGGCGGTGACGGTGACAGTGACGGCGACGGCGACGGCGAGTAGTGTTGTTGTTGCATTAATTTGGGTGAATTTTAAGGTTGATTGATGATTATGAGAGAAGGAATTGAAAAAGGGGGGAAATTATTGTTAGTCTTTCCAGTGAATCTAGTGTGGGAAGCATAAGCAATGATGCGCGAGTATTTGAACAGTGTTTCGTTGGGAGAAAGAAAAACCAATGCGCAAGGGAAAGTCGTCTCAAGCGGTCGCTCCTGGTTGACATTGACTATCGCCCTTTTCCTTAAACGACGCCGTTCACCTCTCCCATCCATTTTGAAACACTAATCTCCAACTCTGTTTGTTTTCTCCCTTGAATCAAGGAACATTTTAGTTTTTTAATCAAAAAAATTAATTTTCTGATTAAAAAATTAATTAGAAACTAAAAATGAAAATCATAAAAATGATGTATGTCACCACTAATAATAATAAGCCTCAAATGAAGTGCACTCACAAAAGATTTTTGTTGCGCAATAATCAGATCTGATACAAACAGTTTCTCGTGAAACTTTCGCATCATACGGCTGCGTCCCGAGCTTCCATCGTTGGCCTTGTCATTAAACATCGTCCAACCAAGTTTTCCCTATTTTTTTATTTTTGTAAAAATCATCAAATTATAGAGGTCAACTACGTAATTAACTCTTATATATATATATATATATATATATATATATATAATATCTATACTACATTATAAAGCATTTGACAAAAACTATTAAAAACAATTTTTTATGCATGAAGTACTGTATATTAATGTATATTACTTAAAATTCAAGATTACAAGTAAATTATGCATAAATACAACTTATTAAAGCTCCATATTTGAATTTATGTAACTAACTGCAGATAAACATAATTAAATAGAGGATAAACATCTCATTTTAAAATATAAAAAATCTAAAATATAATTAGAATAATTATCAAGTTCTAACAAAATAATTAATTATTATCTTTATAAGAAAGTTATATTATTAAACCAAATATAAATTACTTCGTTATTGAACCTAAATTAAATTATAATAAAAAAATTGAATTAAAAAATTACATAAAAAATAGGAATTTTAAATAGTTAATATGATATTAATATTGATATATTTTTGTCAAATTTTTATGTATCTCGTTGCATTGCACGAGTACCATTATAGTATATATATATATATATATATATATATAGAGGGGAATGATCAACTGCAAACTACCCTCATTTGTGAAAACCTTACAAACCAATCTTATCCATCAATTTTCTTGATTAATGGTCAAGATTAAATATGTTTATATTAGAAAATAAAAAAGAAAATAAAAATAAAAGTTTAATTTTTAATTAAAAAAAAGGCAAAAATGTCAAATTTTAATTTGTATGAATTTGTAAACGAGGTAACAAGATCGTGGATATCCTAATATTAATGAAACAAAATCATTGTTTTAAAATATCTATATATCATTAAAAAGATTTTAACCAAAAATGTTAGAATAATACAAATTATATGTTTGATAAAAATTATCTTCATTTTATGATTAAATATTATAAATAAAATAACATCCACATTAAAAATAGATCCGAGCAAGGAGCAATGAAACTATGTATATCCTAATAAATTATGAAACATAAAAATATACTTTAATCAACAAAAAATTAATGAAACCTTTTGAATACTAAATGAAATATTTTGTTTTCATTAAATGAATAAATGAAACTGTTTCACCATTTATATTATGAACTCACGTGACTTCTTGTCACCTACAATGAAAGATGGACTATTTGACATGTAGTAGTGAATGATATATGAAACTATTTCATTAACGGTTATTGAAGTAGGATTAGACTCTTAATAATTTCTAATCAAACTAATTTTAAAACAATAGATATCCCAATAAACGATGAAACATATAAAGAATGAAACATTTTGAAAATTGAATACTTTATTTTTGTAGGTGAAACTTTTTCATGCATAAAACCTTTTGAAATATTAATAAATTAAATTCATCAGTGAAATTGTGTTCATGGTCACTATTGACCATGACATTCGTTTCATTACTCAAACTACATATATTTTCAATGAAACGAAATCAGATTTCATATTGTAGTGTTTTTACAATTCATATTTTAATAGGTATAATTTGATAAAATAATAAAAACTATTAATGATAAAAAAATTTATATTAAGAAAAATTGATTTACTACCTTCTATATTTAATGTTTCTATTATTACGTTTCCATAATTAAGAATAATTATTACCTTCCAATATTAAGCAGTATACAATCAAATGACCATCATACTCTTACTTATTAAAATTAAAGAAAAAAATGGAATTTTCCTATTGGTCGAAAATGGTTTGCATAGTTTTCATTAACCGGACGGTTTGTAACATAACACGCCTATATATATATATATATATATATATATATATATATATATATATATATAGGGATCATGTGAGACCAAGTGTTTTTCGTGAGACCCATAAAACCAATTCTTAACCATTGGATTAGATCTATAATCTGAACATTTATAATCACAAAATTGTCACGAGACTTTTTAATAATCACAAAATTGTGACTGTGCAACTTTAGACAATTAGATCATTAGCTTATAAAGTTGATCAATGAACATAAATTGGTCTTACGGGTCTCACGAAAAACTCTTGGTCTTACGTGTGTGTATATATATATATATATATATATACACACACACATATGCAAATTCTTTTGTTAACTCAATTTTTAGTGTTAACTTTGTAAACTCATCACAACCATTCATCTTGTGAATCAATGGATGACATTTATGATGGCAATTTTGTAATAACTAATAATATAATACATTATCATCTAAGCTGAACGTATACGAACAAGGGTATTATTGAAAAAAAATTCATAAAAATTGTAACTGTCCATTAATATTCATATGAACATTAATCGATTGACATTGATAAAAGAATCTCCGTCATTATGAATATTAATATACACATGGACATCTCCACCTATATGAACATGGGTACACTTATAAACAATGTGATTATGTTCATTAATATTTGATCAATGTTCACATATGTTCACAAAAGTTCACTTGTATGTTACATATTTTCAAAAATTAACTAGACAATGAACATTCTTACTTACAGAAATATGTTCAGCAGTGATTTCGCGATATTTTTCTCCATATTGTTCATATCACCGGAAACGAAAATAACAGTGCGTTTCAAAAATGTTTACTTGTGATTTGTTCACTCGGATTAACAATTTACCCATTGTATATATTAATATTCACATTTTAAAAAAATGTTTGCTTGTGATTTGTTCACTTAGATTAACAATTTGATCAAGGTTAATTTTATTTAATGATAATACATTGTATAATTTGAATAAGTGATCATAATCCCAACAATCAAACAACTATTAAATAGTAACCACTCATTAGTTAATACATTGTGTAATTTGAATAAGTGATC